AATGACTTTGGGCCGTAGAAAAAAGTTGTTTGGGTCTCACATGTGTTGAACTCTGATGTGCTCCACACCTTCGTTCACCACATGATCCTGCATTTTTCCAACAAGCCCTTCATTGCATCTCCACCACTCATTCGAAACCTTGAAGATGGTTGAATGCATACTTGGCCTAAGCATTGCTTGAAGATCCACTTTTTTTTTGCATATCAGTTCACGTCCACGTCATTCCAAAGTATGTTCCCTCTATTCTTGAATAGCTCTTGACGATTGCTACTTTCTCATATTTCTTATCTATCGATTTATCCGGAGTTCTTAGAAAAACCCTGAACTACTTCCATGTGTCCTACGCTTAGTCAAGGGATTGGCCTCAAAAAAACGTCTAAAAGCATGATCTTACTCAATGATTTGTGTAGCCAACAAAGGCAGCACGAGGCCAAAGTGGGAATCACTGCTCGCTTCTACTCAATTTCATCGAAACATTGCAGGAAAAGATTCGTGAAGAGATTCTCACAGTGCTTGGCCATGATGGCAAACCGACCCCATCTGCGTGGTCTGAGATGCGATATACAAGGTAAATTCGCGTTTTATGATATGGATTCCAATTTTTTATTGTGGGGAGGAAAGAAAACATCATACAAGCGAGAAACTCATGTGTGATCTTCTGAAATCATCCCTTCTGGTCGTCCCACTATAAATGAAGAGATTCGAATGAAGTGGCATTCGAATAACTATTACATTAACACCAGTATAGCATAAATAAAAACAAGACTACATGATCATACGCATGTAAACAAAAGACTTACTATAACCTAAACAGGCAGCATTTGAGAATTTCTTACTTGAACCAAGATTGCACTACCAGTCTCATTTCTTAGTAACTAAGTTACACCTGTTAGAGTGGGCAGCGGTATTTCTCCTAAAACTTCCATGGGAAGCGGCAGTGGTTACGCGGCGAATACCGTATCCTTTCACTGAAAATTCGAACCTTTTCCTTTTTCGAGCGCAATTTTCGGGGATGAGTTACCACACCCTGTTAGAATTTATTAGTCTTGATATCATTAGTGACGATGTTTTATTACTGGTATACATTTATAATGTGAAATTTACATTTTATGTTATTATAGAGTACTCTCCTTCAGAGCCGCTATAGAAGAAATACAACGATTCACCAATATTGTTCCCGTGAGCGTCACTCATCGTACCATCAGAACCACAAATTTTGGAACTATCAGAATTCCTGCTGACACACTGATAATGAGCAGTGCCAATCATACTATGGCTTACCTACCTGCATTCGAGAACGGCCACGAGTTTCAGCCAGAACGATTCCTAGACGTAGATGGCATTCCGGCCGATAAGGTAAGTGATTTTGTGTTTTCCACGATTAATGCCCTTTTTGCGGGTGACGAGATGTTAGGGCCTTGACCACATACGGCCTCAATACAAATGGTAGATGTTTTTCGAGCGACTATACTTCCGCTATTCGCTGCCTACACCTACCTTACTTCGCTTACTTTTATACTAGAGCTTTGCAGTTTACTAATCGGCTTTTTGGTACTTTGGATTTAAAAGGCATGAATTTAGTTTACTGAGAAAATTACTGAAACGAACTAGGCGGAACAAGAGAAAAAAATCGACGAGCTGAATCGAACAGTAAACCGAGCGAAACCAAGTGCTAAATGAACAGAAGCAGATATGAAAAGACATCAAAATACCCCTGAGGGAGTTAGAATAAGGAAAAAAACATGTGTTCAACAGCAAAATTTCTCTCAAGAAATAATCCTTCCGAAACCAGCCAACGAATGTAGCGATACGCCTTGGCTTAACGGTTTATTTAAAGCCCGAAACAGATTCGAAAG